AGGGTAGTACAAGCTGCTACAGAACTATCTCATATTACAGCAACCCACCAAACTAAGTATCCCAACAACAAGAGATCCAATTCTCCCCAATCCCACCATTTCTGGACAAAAAACCTAAATGAGGTTCTACTGCTTCTTACTTCAGTCAATCATTGAGAAAAATATTTGGACACAGTTTAATCTCTTTTCATAAAATCATCAAAATGTGTCATTTGACTAGGAATGAAAACTTTTGCATGATTCCATGTTGTATGCAACACCAAAGAAATGACCATCTCTGAGTCATCTTTGTCAGAGAAGCTTGTGATACTTTACATTTCGGCCTCTTGTAGATGTCCTGTTACATTGTTGGCCTGGATGAGGAAGCAATCTATGAAGTCTCGGGGGGACTCTGGATCCAGGGTTCTCCGGTGTGATTCAATTTCCTCCCTGATGAAAGATTTCACATGCTCGCAGTCTGCAAACACCTTCTGATGGGGACCCGGAAGACGCTTCATTAGACTGTCAAACGCAGTGTATGCCTGAACCGGGGATAGAGCACAGATAGATACAATATACCGCAGATTTATATACTTACTGTATATACTTATTTATATACTTACTGTATATACTTATTTATATACTTACTGTATATACTTATTTATATACTTACTGAACTTCAAGCAGATAAAAAAAATACACATGAATGCATCTTTGTAATTATTAATACATCATTAACCAGTTGACATCTGGGTTGTTAAACCCCCTTACCATCCAGGCCATTTTTCAGTGGCCTGGATGGGAAGGCCTATATTAAATGATCCGTCCGTCCGTTTTTCTACTACGGGTGGACGGCAAGAGGTTAAATGTATTTTTTCTCTAAAGTATCCTCTGCAGTTCCTCGACAGCAGAGCTTAGAATGGGAGAGGGAGAAGCAGCAGAAGGAGTCAATCAGGTCCGCTGCAGTGCAAGAAACAAGCTGCTAGAAAGAGAGTGAAGTCACAGAGAAATTAGCTCATCAGTGTGCTCCTTCTCCTTTTCCCTTTCCCTTTCCCTTTCCCTTTCCCTTTCCCTTTCCCTTTCCCTTTCCCTTTCCCTTTCCCTTTCCATGTCCATGTCCAATGTGGGGCAGCACAGTGGCGTAGTGGTTAGCGCTTCTGCCTTGCAGCACTGGGGGTCCCTGGTTCCAATCCCAGACAGATCACTATCAACAAGGAGTTTGCATGTTCTCCCTGTACATGCTTGGATTTCCTCCAGGGACTTCAGTTTACTCCAAAGACATGCTGGTAGGTTGATTGGCTCTGTATGTGAGATAGGGACCTTAGATTGTAAGCTCCATAAGGGCAGGGACTGATGTGAATGTGCACTGTGTAAATGGCAATAATAGATAAATAAATTACAGTGTAGGGGTGAACAGGAGGTCTGTAAGTAAAAGTGAAACTGCAGCAAGCAAAGACCATGTCCTCTCCCCTTCCAGACAGCACTATGTTGTGGGGCTGTGTAACCCCCTGGATTGGATGGACAGACATACAAATCCTTTGGCAGGTACAACAGCTCTCATATAAGTATTCAGCTGTTTTCCTGGAGTTCTGCATTAAAGTGATTCTGTACTGAGCCACAACCAATGTATGTGACATTGACTTAGTAAAAGGCACCTTTTGGTCCTGCTGATTAGCTTCATTCTGGGAGACAAGGAAGTTTTGTGTGTCCCCTCTATACCCAAAAGTACTAGGAATGTTAAAATCATGTAATCAAGTGGCTGGGGAGTGATGGAACAGTAAGAGCAGACACCTTCTGGTGCCCACTACCATACAACAGCCTTAATCACCTCATTTGTAACTAATTTCAGACTCTTATTAATGTACTTTACTGTCTGAAATGTTTCTCCTGCAAAGTGTATGTAAAGTAGTAGGGAAAAGGTAAGGCTTTCTATCACTTCTTTATGCTGGCTGTGTCTCCAATTGGGATGGGTCCACCATGACCTCAACCCAAACCCAAGCTGTAAGATCGACATATAGGTGAACGATTTGGCCAGTTTGCCTTCCTGTCAAACCTCCATCTATGCATGCCGCACAGCATCGTTGTTTCCTAGGACACAGCTGGTCCCACAGTGTCATTGGTTGCTATGATGTGGAGACTAAAGAAATAATGTGCCAATGCTCTTTTTCTCATTTGCTGGTTGATTATCATAGCTGGAAACTTTATGACTTTGGCCAAGATACTCAGGATAATTGTCTGTACTCTTGTCAGTCAGTGGCCGGGTTGGCAAGTAGAGAGGAAGAGAGAGATGAAAGGAGGTAGAGGCTGTGCTGTCTCTTCCTCTAGTTCCTCCCTCTGGCCATACATGTCCTTAGTGGCTTCCAACTGCTGCTGAACCGCAGGCTTGAAGTAAAGGTAAGGAAAGGAAGGGGGAGACTGACCACCTGATATTATAGTTGCCTGCATATTGTAACAATTGTCCATTAGTCACCCACATATTGTAACAGTTGCCACTTGTAGCCCATGTATTGTCAGGATTGCCCGATTTGTAGCCCATGTATTGTCAGGATTGCCTGATTTGTAGCCCATGTATTGTCAGGATTGCCCAATTGTAGCCCACGTATTGTCAGGATTGCCTGATTTGTAGCCCACGTATTGTCAGGATTGCCCAATTGTAGCCCATGTATTATTGTCAGGATTGCCTGATTGTAGCCCACGTATTGTCAGGCTTGCCCAATTGTAGGACACCACACTAAAGCAGAAAACGTAGGTTCAAATAGAGCAGTGACTGTCTACTAATGGAGGTTACCATTACTGACCCCTCTATATGAAAATGCTAGCTTCCTGGCTTTTATGCTCACCCTTCCATGATTGAGGGCTCATTCACATGATTGTGTCTCGGTAATGTGCACGTTACCACAATGCACGTTACATGAAATGGTGCAACACAAGGTATTTCATTCTGAATGGCATCCCAATGCACCTTGCCAATGGACAGGTGATGCAGCACAGCACACTGGACTGATCTGAATTGCGGTGTACAGCCAGAAATGGTAAATGCACCTTTTTTCATATTAATGGGCTGCCTTAATGCAATACACAGTATTGGGTGTGTGTTAATGCATCTCAATGGTGTGAGTGAGCCCTAATATAGTACTGATGCCTGAAGGTCAGAATGACAGCCTAACAATCAGCATTTTCACAAGGAGGTCAGCCACATATTTTTCTCAAGTGTACTTTATGTCAATGATGTTAAAAGCACTGACCAATCCTAAACGACTTCAGAGGAAAGTAAACAGATTGTTAACTATAGAAAGAAATTTCAGGAAGGTATCATCCTCGTAGTCCCAGCACCGGCCGAACACCAAATTTATCACGTTGTTCACTGCACGTCCGACAACTGCCAGAGGATTGAACGCTTCACCTGGGGATGTAGGCAATAGAGTGTAAAGAATATACATATATAGATGAATATAACCTCTTCATGACTGTGCCCTATGATATGGTGGTTTTTATGGACAAGGATTGGTGACCCATCATAGGTGTGGTGTCCTTTAAGTGGTGGTCAGTTGGTTTGATTACTTAGTTTTGGCCGGTGAAGTGTCTGCGGTTAACGGATATTGGTCCCCGAGGCGGTGGTTTGCGGCTGGGGGCTCTATTAGTAGTATCTTAAGCCGCAGATACAGGTATGGGACGGCATTCTGGTTAGTTTAAGCGCCTTCAGGGATTCGGAAACCTGGGTTAAACTGGATAACTGTTGTTTATGGGTTGTGAGTATATATATATATAGATATATATATTGGAGTATTTTTCTATTCAAGTTTGTATTTATTTTTGATATTGTTATTAAAGATACAAGTGGCTGCTGTGGCCTTTGGAAATCCATACAAGTCTGGAGTGCTTTATTGGTAGAATGGTTGGGGGGGGGAAGGTCACAGTATTAAGGGGGTCCCTCTGAAAATACCCTCGTCATGCTCTGATATACTGTACAGTCTTCTGTTTATGGAAACAAATAAGGATCTATAATTAAGGAGATTCCCAACGTATTTCCATAAATCAAAATTTACACGAGTTCTTTCATTTGCGCTAACTCTGAAGACGAGGAATACAAAAGTATACAAAACATAGATATTTATTAATTAAAAATCAGTGCAAAATAATAATAAAATATAATTGGTGACAAACAAAGAATATGGATCAGATAATAACAATTAATTTGATAACACAGGTAATGCATAAAATGTAACCAGTGGATATTGTTCAAAATGTAACCAAATGAAAATGACTTTTTAAATGTAATGGGTATCTTCTCAGTATCTCACAGAATAAGAAAACAAAAGGTTCAGAATTGACAAGTGACTTCTCTCAGCACAGATATTCACAAGCTCTAACTTTCACAGCGCATGGGCGATATTTATCCCATCATGCACAGGACTGGCAATAAGCCCAGACCATTCAAAGTAGAGAAAAATTTCCACCAGTTTAATTCAATATATATCAGACTAGACCATTGACTAGAAACTGAAATCAGTTTCCTGGAGATTATACAAATGTATATAACAAATGTATATAATTCTCTCCCAAGATTGAAAGACATCATTTGTACTGCAGTTAAAAATTATCTCAAATCAATCTAGATCCTACAAGAACTCAATGGTTTACCCGAATATATATATATGTGGCTAAGGAATTGCCAAATATACAGATAGAAAGTATACTTTACCAGCAATTTAAAATTAGTTGTTTGGAAGAAGTCAGCAGTCAATGCTCAGAAACCAGGGGTGGTCAGGTTCTCTTTAGTTCAGTTTCCTCAGCTTCCGACCTATACCCTTGGAATGTATTTGCTTACTGCCTACTTCGTTTTGGAATTCGGCTCCCCGGTTCTTGGTCCTTCCATCCACTTTTATCTCCCCCTGGGTTGTGGGCTTGGTTTGGTCTTCCACGTGATTATTGACGTGAAGCCTGACGTCAGATATATCATTTTGCCATATACCTTTCCCTCACAATCACCATCAGGGGGCACTATTGTTCTATATAAAAGTTTGGAACATTTCATTTAATTATACTATTTTCTAAAGATACCCTCTGACCTAAGCTATGGACAATCCATAAAGAAAGTAATGAATAACATCTCATGACAACCTCTTATCCGACTTTTAGTCTACTTCTTCGATTTACAACCTTAAGATAATCTAACCTAAAGCAATTAACGTTCTTTCTCAAATTCCTTAAAATTTGAGGTAACTAGTTTCACGACCCAGTGGTTTTTAACACATTAAAAGAAAAGAAAATACATTACTTGTACTTGTTCCCCTGTATATTACCGTCCCTGAGGAAATCGTCCAATCGCCTCTTGAACGATTCCACACACTCACCCAAAATTACAGCTACATCACATAGCCGAGTATACAAGTCTGAACCATGGCAGGAAAATTTTGAAGCTGTGCACAGGGAATTCTCGCATGGGAAAACAGCACTTTGCGGAAATATTATTGCGTGTGTACATATACAAATGTTAGTGCCTAAGGTCTCAAATATTTCTAGGTGATAAATATGTAGACAGATTTAAGACCTAGAGGGGGCAGCTGTGCAACTACAAATCATGGGGACCCATAACAGCAGCTGGCAGTGTCAACTGTGGAAATAGATATATGCTCGGGGTTACCTCTCCTAGCATTGAAAATTCACCCCGAGCCAGACTCGGGATTACCGCCAGGGAGGTTAATAATGCTTTTTTTTTTACAGTGATATATATTTAGGGCTTGAGTTGTGGGGACTATGCCTGGCTTGTTATTATTCTTTATGTTAAAGATTAAAGAATTAGATTCTATTAAATATAACTAATAAATTCCGTGGCCAGTTTAATGGCCTGCCCTTAGGGAGCAGTGCCGGGGGTGTAGGGGCTTGTTCACACCATCTGCAGATCTGGATGCGTTTCTGGAAATATGGGTAAGTGTGTTTTGGTTGCGTTCCTGTGCATTTTTCGTAATTTTTTTTACAGACCAGAAAATAAGAGTATGGTGGTACCTCGGTTCACGAACTCTGTCTCAGGTTACAAACACGACCGCAGCCATTTTCCCCACTCTGACACATGGTCGTGGGTTCCTGTACGAGGAAGCCACTTACAGGAAGTAGTCAATGGAATCACAAATTTGACAGTGACATTTACATACACCATCTTTTTTGTTTTTTTATTACATACTTTGATAAACACATATCTAAAATAATTGTGTTCATTAGAGGTCAGTTATCATACACATGGGAGCCCACAATAACAGCAGAATATAAACTGAATTGAAATAAAGTTGTTTAGCGGCAATTTTATGTATGTATTTTTCCTCTATCATTTTTTCTCTGATTGAAACTGTTGTAGGGCCAGGGGTGCCCCCTTATCTGGGTGCTGGCGGGCATGGCGTAGGGTATAGAGCCCTTCTACTACTGTCATGGTGCCCGGCGGCAGGGTTGCAGGTATGTGTGCGTGAGCGTGGGCATGCACATGACCTATTAGTCAGTTTGTGTGCTGGTCATTCCCAGGAAGGGCCTCATTGACACACCTGCCTCTCCTCACCATCCCATTGGCTCCCAGGGGTTGAAAGCTTCCTCATTGCTCTTACAATGGGGGCGTTCCTGGACCTTGCTGGGTTTAAATCCCAGTCAGAGCCCTGACTTCTTGCTGAGTTATTCTGCCTGTATGCGGTGCAGCTATGAAGCGTTACTTCCTTTTCCTGCTTCCCTTTCCCACCATTCGGACTCCCTGGTTACTAACCCCCGGCTTGACTTCTCGTTCTCGATACTTGTTGGCTGCCTTGACCCGGACCGTATTCTGATGACGCCTTTGGACTTTCCATATTGTAGCTTCACCATGGGCTTGTACCCAGTACTGTTCTCTGCTATTGGGTTCCACTCCAGCATACAAGGTTAACTCCACCAGTGACAGAAACTTCACATGGAGACATCCGAAGGGAGGAGAAGAGAATATTTTTATTATTATTTCACTATAGTTGGAAAGTATTAGAAGCCCTCGGTTTTTTATTGAAGAAAGCTATTGGCCAGACCCTGGCGCTGGATTAAATCAAATTAATATATTTTTTTAACTTCCTGGGTGACTTAACATTTACTACTGCTTTGGGGGAATTTTAATGAGTTTATTGTATCTATTTGGAAGGGGGTCTTAAAATTGTTTTGATCAAACCTTCGTAAATGGTTTCTGTTGGTGCTGGTAAGTTGTACACCCTGCAATGAACTGGCAAAAAATATCCATAATGCTGAGAAGCTTTAAAAAAGCTGAACTCTGGTTAAAATCAAAAGTTACCCCTCCCCTTGCCCTTACTGCAAGGGTTAAATGCTAATTTTGGTCTTGGAGGAACCTAAACATCGGTTGTATTTGCCTTATCCCTCAATCCTACAATCCCAACACCACCAGCCCCTCCTGACAGCCAGTTCTCTCCTCTTCTCTCTGATGATCCGGGTTGTGTGCAGGTCCTTGATGTACTCTCAATGCAGGACTGGTGGTCCTGCTTTGTAGATGATAATAGTTTTGACCAATGGAGTGTGAAGAGAGGTGGCTTCAGGGGACTGGTTATGCAGCTTAGAGGAACCATACAGGAGCAGGTATAAGGAAAATATAACTTCTGTTCATTTTACCCTTGACAGAAATCCTGATTTAAGTTTTAACATACGGTATGTGTATGCAATACATGTTTATCCTATTCCTGGAGTTACAGGAAAATAACTTAGTGACCCTGCCCGAAATTCACTGAGCTCCTCACTTCCTATAGTGATCTGGCAACACTGCCTTTACTGCATGAAATCCCAAGCAGTGTTGCCAGCCCTGCCCAGTTCTCACCTGCTGGACTACAGAACACCAGGGTGGTTCACAAGGAAGATGTTTCTGCCTACTTGCAGGGAACACAAGATGCATGGAGTTTACAGGGGAGGAGCCAGCAGCCTCAGCAATTTAGGACTACAAAAACACACCATGTACAAAATAATACATAAGTAAAACCAAGGTAAGGAACTCCACATCCTTGAGGATTCTTGGAAAATATATTATCAGGTAATAACTCAAAGTTTTCCCATAAATATTCTCTAGGACAATTTACTAGAGGGATTTAACAAGTTGTTACTTAGGATGGTACTATGACTTGAGGCACTTTCCTCCCAAGGGCTTGATGTTGACTGGAGAAGGGATCAACTTGATAGTGCTTTATGAATGTGTTGAGGCTAGACCTTGAGGGCACTTTGCATATCAGCTCTGCAGTGGGACTGGCCTTCCCAACCCGGGATCTTGAAAGAGCTCTTGTGGAGTAAGCTCTGAGATGGAAAGGGCAGGATTTCTCTGCAGAGGCGTAGGGTATGGCTGTACATAT